AAAGTATAGCATATTTCTGTAAAGTTTCCCTCCTCTTCTTTTCCATCTATATCTGCACCCCTTACCACCTCCTTTCTATGCCTCCCTTCCCCAAGGAAACTACTATTCTGACTTCTATTACCGTTGATTAGAAAAATCACAAAATATTTGAGAGTTAAGCAACCACCTCTAAATAATCCATAGGCTAAAAAAAGAAATTACAAAGGAAATTAGAACACATTTTTAGCTGAATAATAAAAATATATCAACAATTATATGATGTAGCTAAAACAGTGATTAGGAGGAAATTGTTGCTTTAAATACTTATAATAGAAGAGAGGGAGGGTTTAAAATCAATGATTTACTCTTCCACCTTAAGAAGTTTAACAAAAAAGAGAGAGAATGACAGTGAAACCCAAGGAAAGGAAGAAGGAAATTGTAAAGAAAAGAAAAAAGAAAGATAAATGAAATAGAAAACAGAAGAATAATAGAATTCCAGTTTACTTACATGGAGATCAGAGATACACCCTTTTCAGTCCTTTAAAATTTGTTGAGATTTGCTTTATGGCCTAGGACTATTTTGATAAATAATGGATTATTTTGATAAATGAGCATTTGAAAAGAATGTGGTATGTCTATAGTTGTTGGATGTCAAGTTCCTCAAAGTCAGGTCTATATCCTTACTGATTTTTTTGGGTGCTTGTTTCATCAATTACTAAGATCCACCTCTGTGTATTTACCTATTTTTCTTTTAGTTCTATCACTTGTTGATTATTTTGAAGCAATATCATTTCATATATACACATTCAGGATTGTTATGTCTTCTTGATAAACTGCCCCTTTTATCTTTATGAATCATTTATCTCTGCCAATACTCCTTATCTTCAACATTGCTTTTTCTAATATTAATAAAGCCACACTGGCTTTCTTCTAATTAGTCATCATTGCATGGTATACCTTTTACCATATTTTTTCTTTCAATCTATCTCTGTCCATAAATTTAAAATGTATCTCTTTTAATCAGTATTTTTACTCTGAAACTATTTATCTTTTAAATGGAGTAGTATAGACCATTTCTACTTGATGTGATTATTGAGATTGCTTGGTTTAAATCTACCATCTTGCTGTTTGTACCATCCACAGATGGTACTTGTTCCTTTAGTTCTCCTTTTCTGTTGTATTCTGCTGGGGCTTCCAAACAAAATACCTTAGACTTGGTGGCTTAAACAACAGACATTTATTTCTTTACAGTTATGGAGGCTCGAAGTGCAAGATCAAGGTTCTGGCCGATGCCATTTCAGGGGAAGGCTCCTTTCCTGTGCAGACGGCTGCCTTCTTGCTGTGTTCTCTCATATCAGAGAGAGTCCTCTGGTATTTCTTACTTTTATTATAAGGGCACTGGTCCTACGGAATTAGGATCCTCCCCTTAATGTCCTTATTTGACCTTTATCACCTCCTCATAGGCCCTATCTCTAATTACGGTCACATTGGGAGTTAGAGCTTCAGCATATGAATTTAGTCTATGGCACTTACTCTCTTTTGAATTCTTCAAATATTTTCAGTATTCCACTTTATCTCCTCTATTGGATTTTCAACAACTGGTTCTCTAGTGTAACAACATATATCCTAAAGTTAGCACTATCTCGAATTAATTTCGTACCACTTTATATACAATATAAATAGTATAATTTAATTTCATCCAAATGCTAGTTTCAATAATATACTTGCATTTACTTTATCCCATCCTTAATGCTATTATTGATATATTTTACTTGTATATATGTAATATATTTAATAATACTTGATTATTTCACTTTGAATAGTCAGTAGCCTTTTAGTGAAATAAAAAATGTAGTTGATACTATTTATCTACATTTTTAATGTGTACAGTGCTCTTCACTCCTTGCAGATTTGGGTTACCATGTGGGATTATTTCCTTTCAGGAACATTACCAGAATAGACAACCACTACTTCATGTGAAAGTCTCCTCTAGTATTTGCTCGCTGTAGAAGTTCTTAACTCTCTCTGGAATGTGTTCATTTTGATTTCTTTATCTTCAGTGTTTTCTAATGTCTTTAAGGACAAATATGAGTTTAATTTAACCAATTTTTTTTATAGGAATGAAAGTCTTCCTAATTAGCAGCTTAACTTAATTACCCATATATTTATCCTTTTTCAGACTGTTTATTTTTCTTGCACCTTCATGCTTCTAACTTCATTCAGCCTGGAGAACATCTTTTGATGTTTTTTGAAGTATAAGTCTACTGGCAATAAATTCTCTCAGCTCTAGTTGTCTGGAAATGTTCTCAATTTACCTTCATTTTTTAAAATGAATTTTCAAGGTGTATAGAATCCTAAATGGGTGGTTTTTCTGGTCAATACTCCAAAGATACCGTTCCATTCAATTATAGCTTTTATAGTTTCTGTCAAAAAGTCATTAATTTTGTTATTATTCTGAAGGGAATGCATCTTTTTTTTCACTGGTTGCTTTTAAGATTTTCTCCTTATCTTTAATTTTAAGCCACTTGGCTCTTATAGGCCTAGGTTAAATTTACTTTGTATTTATCCCGCTTGGAATTTAAAGAGCTGTTTGAATCTGTGAGTTGATGTATTTAATCAGATATGGAAAATTACTCACCATTATTTTTTAAAATATTATTTCTGTAGCATAGTCTCTCTCCTCTCTTTTGGGACTTCTGTTCATGTCCCACATCTCTTTTACATTCTGTTCTTTTCATTTTTCACCTGTGTTTCATTTTGAATATTTTTAATTGATCTGTTTTCATTTCCACCTATCCTGTCTTCTGCTGTGTTCAGTCTGCTGTTAAACAAATTCTAGATATTGATGTTTTGTAATTCTAAAAGGGACATTTGATTCTTTATTATAGATTCTAATTCTCTGTTGAAATAGTGCATCTTCTAATCCATTTTGTCTACTTTTGCGGTGTTTTCTTAGCATATTGATCATAGTGAAGTTTTTGTCTGCCAACGACAGGGACATCTTTGAAACTGTATCTATTGATTATTTTATCTCTTGATTATTGTTTACTTTTTCCTGCTTCTTTGCATTTCTATTAATTTTTAATTTTATGCTGGATGTGGTAAATGATATGTTATAGAGGCTAATCTACTTACAAACAACATTGAGTTTTAATCTGCCCCGCCATTAAATTTCTGGTGGATCACCTTAATTTTTCTGAGGACTGGTTTTAGCTTTTCTTAGAGCAACTCCATTTCTGTTTTGTTCTTACTCCTAGAGTGTAGCCTTAGTCCTATGTCAACTCCTATGGTGTTTCATTTATTATAGATTATGGGCTGTATAGAATTTCACCTGAACACCGAGGGTGTTCATCAAAGTCTGTCTCTTCTGGCTAGGCCGAAACACCAGTTGTCTTTCCTCAGAACTATGTTAGCTTCATAAATTTCTCATCAGTCTCACATGTGCAGTTGCTATTGTCTGCCAGCCTCCTGGATTCTCCCCTAAGCTTGTGGGGCCCAGGAACTGACCAAGCATTAAAGTGAAATTTCCATGAAGATTTCTGGGGCTCCCTCTCTCAGGCTTCCCTCCTTGACAGCCACACCCTTCAAATCATGGCCACTTTTCCATCCATAATGCCTATTAGCTGCCTCTTCCACTCAGTGAGCTCTACCTTCTTGCACCATTACCTGGAAAATGTTTCTAATCAGAGAACCTGAGTCAATATGGAACTGTGATAATGGGTTGGTCTAGTGATGTTTACTTCAGATCAGCTATTTATGTTTTCTTACAGATTTTGATTAGCTCTTCTATCTTATTCACATAAAGATAATTTTTAGAATAAAGCTCACCTTTTACCAATATTAGAGAATTATCAAAGGTTTATTATGGGCCAGATACTTTTTGTATACTTGATCTGTTTTAATCTCCATAATGAGCATGTAAGAAATAATAATAATAATAATAATGAAGAAGGAGGAGGAGGAGGAGGAGAAGGAGAATAGTTATATAAAGTGTTACCAAGTGCCAGGCATTGTTCTGAACATTTTATACATCTCATTTAATATTTTACATACCCATTTAATTTTCACATCAACCCTATAGATAGGTATTATTATCGTTCCTACTTTACAAATGAGGAGTCTGAGACACTATAGAGACTAAGTAATGTCCCTC